GGGAAGCCTGCTTCTCCCTCTCCCACTCCCCCCTGCTTGTGTTCCCTCTCTCACTGTGTCTCTCTCTGTCAAATAAATAAATAAAATCTTTAAAAAAGAAAATAGAGTAAGTTGATCACAGAATGGGTTAGGTTGATAGAAGTTCACCCACCAACCTCAAGAAGACCTCTGTACTGTAAAACATATAAGATCCCCAACCCAGTGTCCCATCCCTGGCATTACCTTGGCTCTGAGAACTCCAAAGTCTTAGCTAATGAAATCCTTAAATTCTAAAGAGTCAAGCATGCCACCTTCCAGCACACCTGCTTATTTTATGTCTAAGAACTATAGTCTTAGAAGTTGTAGATATCTCGCAAAAGTGGCAAAATCTTACTTAGCTTGTTTTGTGTCCTGAGGAACTTGGCTCAGTAACTGTCAGGTTGAGGGTCCCCAAATAAGGCCAGACAGAAATATGAGTTGCACCCCATTTGCAGCTAAATACGGCTGAACAGAAATGTGGGTTAACTCCATTTGTGCCTAGAATCCTACCAAACTGCTTCAGCCTTCAGGGGAATTACAACCTAGAAATACAGTGGTTGTTATGGGGACCGTTCCAATTAGATAAAATCATTTAAGAAGTACACTTGAAAGCAAGGATTCCCAAATTAAACAGAATGAGATACTTGTTTTAATTGGCAAGCAGAAGCCTCCAAAAGGTTTTAAAATTCCCATATTGTTTCATTAAAAGACTCATTGCGAAAGGCTAGTGAAAAATTAGAGAAGAGGTACCCAAAACAAAAGACTCTAAGACTGACATAACTCCCGCTGCTCCCAGCTCCCCTCTCTCCCCCTTGGAGTACTTGTTCTACTAATCCTCTGTCTCACTTGGTTTTCCACTCTGAGAAGACTCCACAACCGTAAACAAAACTTCACCACATTGGGGCCCCTGGGTGGCTCAGTTGGTTAAGTGACTGCCTTCGGTTCAGGTCATGATCCTGGAGTCCCTGGATCGAGTCCCTGGATCAAGTCCCGCATCGGGCTCCCTGCTTGGCAGGGAGTCTGCTTTTCCCTCTGACCCTCCCAACCCTCCCCCCTCTCATGCTCTCTCTCTCTCAGTCTCTCTCTCAAATAAATAAATAAAATCTTTAAAAACAAAAAAAAACACTTCACCACATTAACGGCCTTACATACACCCCTGTATTTACCTTCATAGGAGGACCCCTACATGGGCCCCTCCCAGAGTTGTTGAAACAGAGAGATTTTTCTGGTAAAACTGCTCTGTTCTTTCCTTAAACAGCCAAGGGGAAACTCTGGTAGATACCAGACACTGCAGAGGGGATCTGGGAAAAACTGGCAGAAGCCAGCAAAGGGTGAAAATTCTTACCAGAATCAGTTCCTTTCAAGTCTCTTGTCTGGGAGCGCCTGGGTGGCTCAGGTCATGATCCCAGGGTCCTGGAGTCGAGCCCTGCATTGGGCTCCCTGCTCCGTGGGAAGCCTGCTTCTCCCTCTCCCACTCCCCCTGCTTGTGTTCCCTCTCTCACTGTGTCTCTCTCTGTCAAATAAATAAAGTCTTTAAAAAAAAAAACAAAACTCTTGTCTGTAGTGCCCAGTCTAGAGAGGAAAATAAAATTTCACGTTGTCCCTTCCTTTCCAAATCCAGACCCATTGGCTTATTGATCCTTTCTCTCCCAGAGATACCTATTGCCTTCTCATTTGTCTAGTGTTGCATAACTGGGCTTGGCTTTCTGCCCACATGGGACATGCAGGTTTTGGTTCTTTGGCTATCATTTGGAGTGACTCTAGATCTTGGGAAGGTAGTATCCTTTGCACCCTTTTTGGGGACCCCTCTTACATCCATGGGGTGTTATTCAGTACCACCAGAAATACTTAAAATTAGAACCATGTCCCCAGGGGAAAAAGAAGCAAACTGAGAATAATAGAGTTGAATAGGTAGATCAACCTATTATGTCATTTAAGTTACAACCCAGTTCTTGGAGGAATTGAAAGCAATTGTCCTTATCTTGCAATCTTTATAAAACTAAAACTTTGGCTCTAGAGGCAGTTCAAAGTTTACCTGTTTCTTCACCAATCCCAAAACTTCCCCTGTTTATCTCAAATGGATTGTAAATTTTTGGCTCTAGGAAACCAAAGTCCTTCTTAGAGGAACTTGCATTCTTTTCCTGTCCCTTAAAGTTATACATCTTATCATGTCTTAGAAATGTAAGCACAGCCCACAATTACCAGAGAATGAGAGAAAAAAAGGGAAAGAAGCCTTTTTTTTTTTAGATTTTATTTATTTATTTGAGTGAGAGAGTGCACAA